CCCACACACACACACACACACACACACACACACACACACACACACACCCTGTGATCTTCTTTCAAACAGACAGGGTTCTGAGATGACAGATGATTCTTATTAAAAAAAAAAAAAAAAAGCATGACCCATCATACAACACTGGACGCGAGTAAAGCCATCACACACTGTGAGGTAGATGACACTGAGTGACCTACGAACAGACTCAGACAGAAGATGCAGCCTTTCCATGTTTCTGTGCTGATTTTGGAGAAAACATGGATTTAAACATGGGTAAAAACATTAAACGTGATACAATGCGTTAAACTCAGCTGAAAATACTCAGTATCCATCAATATACGGTATACACATACCAGAGGTTTTTAAAAATCTGAGAATCTGCACTTTTCAAAATCAAATTTAAACCTGGAAATAAACCGTTTTAGGATTTTAAAAAATAACAGAAAAATGTTATAATGTATATAATGTTACAATGTTATTTTATATGTGTGTGTGTAACTATAATACATTTTTGAATTATATATATATATATATATATATAGAGAGAGAGAGAGAGAGAGAGAGAGAGAGAGAGAGAGAGAGAGAGTTTTAACATTTTAAAAACAGCTTTATTTTTCCTACAAGATCTCAGAGTTTTGAACCCCACTGGTTATGTATTCTAAAAATATGGCAATAAATTGTGCCAAAAATTTGCATAGAACTTTGTTGCAAAGAATTTAGAATTCTATGCAGAATTAGAATTCTATGTACAGTAAATAATTCCACAGATCTTACAAGTGCATCCGTCTATGATTAAACACACTACATGAAGAACTCCCAGCAGTCTTCATCATCATCATCATCATCATCCTCCTCTGCTCTTCAGCTGTTGTTTTATTCTGATATTTACATTTTGATCTCCATATCTTTCAGTGAGGTCACAGATGACTCAAAACACCTCAGTGAATCTTTGATGAATGAAAGAATGAAGAAAGGAAAATTTATAACTGTACATGTGTATGTTGAATAACCTTCAGGTCCTTTAAAAAAAACTCTTCATACAAAGAGGGAAAAACTATGGCATGTAAAATGAATAACAAAAATGACCACATAAAATAAAATAAACACATATTTAAAAAACAAAAAAATTACATAAAATCCCCAGATTTTCCATGTCCTAAAATTCACAATTTCTCCTAAAGGGAAAGACATTCACCACAGCTGAGCAGTGCAGAAACTACATCCTCAGAGAACATATGATAAGATGATCTAAGCACATCCCTCTGCCTCCTCTACATCACGACACACTGTAGAAAAATACTGCACCGCTGACAGGGGTTTCAAAGAAACTGCCGGGTATAAACACTGAGAGGGACCTTCACATCTCAGACCCACTGAATGAGCATCAGCTGACGGAGTTTGACTTTCTGCAGTTTCTTTTCATTTATTTTTGGCACTCATCTTCCTATAATTCTGAATCATCATCAGATGCTATTGTTCAAAAGTTTGGGGTCGGTAAGATGTTTCAATGTTTTTTAGGTCTCTTATGTTCACGAAGGCTGCATTTATTTGATCAAAAATACAGTAAAAATGTCAAATATTATTAGAATTCAAAAGAACTGGTGTCTATGTGAATATATAGTAAAATATAATTTATTTCTGTGATCAAAGCTGAATTTTCAGCATCATTACTCCAGTCTTCAGTGTCACATGATCTTCAGAAATCATTCTAATATGCTGATTTGCTGCTCGAGAAACATTTCTGATTATTATCAGTGTTGAAAACAGTTCATATTTTTGTGGAAACTGTGACACATTTTATTTGCCAGCATTCCTTGATTAATAGAAAGTTTGAATGAACAGCATTTATTTGAAATAGAAATCTTTTGTATCATTATAAATGTCTTTACTGTCACTTCTGATCAATTTAATGCATCCTTGCTGAATAAAAGTATATTTCTTTTTTAAACAAAAAAAATCTTTTGAACGGTAATGTACGTTGCTTGTGACACCGTGTCCTAACCAAGTTGAATGAATGCGGAAAACAGACAAAATCCTGCAAAGTCACAGCCAATCAGAATACATCAGCTGTTTAATATGCAGTGTTTTGGACCAATGAGGCGGGTCGCAGGTCAGATAGACAGATATGGCTTACTGCTAGTCACTGTATCACCTGATAAGAACACGATGTGTAAAAAAAAAATGAACAGCAAAAATAAAATGTAAATCTAGCTAACACTGCTTTGTGATTGTCTAAACACAATAGTTCCTAAACCTGTTTAAGGTGAAGTGTGTGATTTCTAAACATAATTACTGTATTCAAACAAATGTTAAACACTCCCCCTATCAGCTATTGGTCAGAAACCAATAGCCCCGCCCCCAAATTCACTCTATTGGTTGAGTGAATGTCCAGCTCAGTTGTCACTCAAACAAACTGCAATTCCGTTTGATGCCACTAGGACAAACACGCTTCACCTTCAATCCTAATAGATTACGATCATTAACTGGATGCTTTTAAACATTACTCTTAATAGTAATGTCGTTTAATTTAAGCATTCTCCAAGTTTAACATACCCAATATCGTCATGAACGTCAAGACAGAGATTAAATTTCATTCCATCTCATCGAAAAACACGTTTATTGCTGAGAGAAAAAGATTTTGCAGTGCTGGTTTTGATCATCAGCAAATGTTGTGCTGGATGGGCCAGCCGTGCCCTGTGCTTTCATCATACAATTTACGAAAAAAAAAAAAAAAAATCTAATAAAAAGTGCAAATACAGCTGAAATTATCCTGATTAAACTGGTTTCAGCGATTCATTTCGAGATGGAGCCAAAACAAAACCTCAGTACTCAATAACGAGACCAAACATTATGGCTTTTCTCCTTGAACGCTGTTCGCGTTAAACATTTAAACTTTTATAATATAAAACCCTCAGTAAGTGGACAACATGTTCGGCTAGTGATGCCTTGATAATGAATAAATGTTATTGCACAATCCGTATCATGAAGTCAGTAACGTCTTCCGACACATTCATCATCTGCGCTGCATTATTGTTAAAATTATCCAATGTAAAAAACTCAAACATTCTCTTGATATCGGAAAAAGTGCGTTTTTGCGTCTTGGATATGCCAAACAGCACAAACACTTGTTTTCGCGGCCTGGTTCACTGAAGCTAGATGCTATTTTGGGTATCAAGTGATTTGAATCGTAGCTAGCATATGCAAATAAAAAAGCAATGCAGGTTCATAATGGAGACGAATGAATCAATATTAAACAGGCATTAGCAACTCAAATGTTTACCTGCTTTTGTGACACTGAATATCACTCAACGTTTTAGCCTTCGGAAAAACCAAACAATGTTGCACAATAAACAGACATAAAAACTAGCACAGATTGTACGAACAAACCAAAGAAAACAGTAAGAGTCATAAATTAAAGTGTCGTGTTATGAATCGAGCCATCGCTCGTCTCGTTTCCTTCATGTTGAGTCTCTTCCTCTAACGAACACAGCCAGACGTAACGCCGCTAGCTGTCTCCATGACGTCCGGTTTTGCTTTGGGGAAAATAAAAAAAACTTAATTCCTGCCACAGTCCGCTTTATGAGTATATGGTGATGACTTCACGACCGCCGCCGCGCACCAACAGGACCCGGTTGAGACCCTCCATCAAAACCTCCAGAAACTCCATGTCTGAGTCAGCATCAAGGATCAACATGATGCATGTTTTTTACTCCAAATAACACTTCCGGAGAGACATCTTTGTATAGTAAGAGAGATTTTAAGTAATAAAGCCATAATCTACTCAAGATCGTACATTACAGTTATTTTACCACAGTAAATGCGTATTGTTATGCATGACATGATGCTTAATGTCTAAAATCCTGTTAACCGTGATTAAAAAAACAGATGTAGTAAAACAGTAAATATACTAAAATCAATAATGTGTTACAAATATAATAATAATAATAAATAACCCTTTCCTTGAGCAATATAGTTATATAAATAATGGAAATAATAACTATGAATGGAAGTAAAATGAAATATTAAAAATAGTATATTATCTGAAATTTTATTTTAGTATTATTTATAAACTTTTTATTAATATTTTGCATTCAGTTTTATATTTTCAGTCTTAATTTTAGTTTAATTTTGTTATGTGCTTTTGACATTTTTATCATTATTATTTTTTCATATTACTATTTAGGTTGAATTTATTTTATATCAGTTTTAGTTTTACTTCAGTATTCGCATATATTTATTTTAAGATAGTAATTTTAGTGCTTCAAATGAAACTTATTTCAGTTAGTTTTATTTAATATTTACTGTATATTTGAATTGATTTCAGCTTAATTTCAAATATGTTTAACAGTTTTAGTTAACTGATTCAAATGTGGCTCATCCACTCAGATTTAGAGATGAATGTGTTTTTATAAATGTGAGTTTTGTGAGTGTAGTTTGTGTAAGGATACAGTTTTCATCGCCGCCTCTGCTCTTGGGTGGTCCGGGCATGTTGAGGAGCACCAGATGAGCTCCCTGAGACTTATTGACCACCACTTCATTGAGTTTGACGGCTGTGTGCATGCAGCGCACATTAGACTGATTCCTGCGACACACGGTCATGTGATGAAGGACAGAAACAAGAAATAAAAGTCACTGTTTCAAATTCCTGCCAACAACAATTAGCATTTAATGAGCTTTTTTTTTCTATCTCTACTGACTACTTTTAATATATTTTTCAGCATTTGCAAAGCACAGCTTTATATTCATCGTTTACCGTGACATTTGAGGTCAAATGCAAATAACTCTGATTCTGATTGTTCAATGCTTATTCAATACTTATGCACTGCAATTCAAGCATAATTTACATTAGTAATATAAAGCCCTTTTGAGGTTAGTGAGCACAGCATCCAGATTTGACATGCACAGCATATGCACATGCCCTTAATAAAAGCATAAATGAGGACATCACAAATACAGAAAAAATAAAAATAAAAACTTGTGCTCCTTAGCGCCACCTGGGGCCACTCAATAAACTGCGGAAAATATACCAGAATAAATGTTGTGAAGTTCTTTAAAAGTTATACTGTATATAAAATAAATATAAATAGACATAAACAATGATGACAATAATAATAATAGTTATATATAAAATATTAAAATAACTATAATAATACAAAATTATAATAAAATGATATTGATTTTATAATAATATAACAACTTATAATA